TGATCTTGATCTTGTATTCTGATTGGTTGTCAGACTCCCATGGGGCCATGCAGGGGCAACTTGGTAGGCTGTGAGCCCACATTTGGTTGAGCATTGCTTCTTCACAGGTGTCCTGTGGTGAGATGGGTAAAGGGCTAATACTATAATGCCTTAATCTCATCACCCTGGAGCTGAGGGGGGGAGATCTTTGTTATGTAGATTAGACTGGCTCAGGCATTTTAATGGCTCATTGACAAAGGTGGGGGCTATTAAGAAAGAGTCTGCTTCCTGCCTAAAAACATGTTTCTTCATTTCTGATCCTTGGAAATATAATATTCTGCCGTTTCAATATTTCCCAGGATATTTCATTTTTCTAGGAGAGGGGTGGGTGCTAACTTCCTACACTAGGATACTGTGAGTTCTAGACATAGCTATGATTGAAGCCTGCTGGGTGACTTTTGGCCAATCACTTTCTCTCAGCCCGAAGAAGAAGGCAAGAGCAAACCACTTCTGAAAAATGTTGCCAAAGACAACTGCACTGACTTGTCCAGGCAATCACAAAGTGTAAATAGTGTAAATAGTGATTTAAAGGCACATGCACACAAGATACAAGCGTAACCCTAATACATTCTGCCTGGAGACTAGAATTCTGCTCCAACTCCCTTTTTTCTTGGAGCATACAGGACTCAAGATTTTGGTGGGCACCACAGTCAGAAGCCTGATCAGCGCAATCCAAACCTCTTCTGATTCTCAGGCTGCCATGTACTGCGCAACAAAGGAGGCAGGAGATTTTTCTCCTTGAACAGTGTGCTTTTAAATGGCAGGTGATATGCAGAAATGATGTGCTCCTGCTGCAGCGTGTTTTCTGGCAGCATGAAGGGTATCCAGAATCTGATACAATGTGAATGCTATGGAACTCTCTTACTTCCAGGGAAACTGAGTCCCAGGTGAGCAATCACATACCTATAAAGACAGGACAGCCAGATGCTGCTAAGCTAGGACAAAACAGCATGACAAAACAGATCTTGTTCAGTAGACCAAAGAGGTACATTGAGTACCTGCCCAAGAGATGGACTGAGAAAGTAAAATGGAAGAAATTGACCAAGGGTTTATTTATTTGCAGCACTGCAATCTTTAGGATTTGGCCTAGAGGAGACAGTCATTCCATTCATCAATACTAGCTGCTATATTTTCTGCAGAGTTGATTAGGTTGGCTTTTTCTTCTGGTGGATATTGTAAGTCTGCAATTCCCATTCTTCAAAAAAGGAAACATTGAGAAGCTCATTGCATGGAGTGAAGGCACACAAGGATCAATCCCTCTCCTGTCCTTTAAAGTGGGGGGGGGGGCAAAGCAGCATTAATATGGGAGCTCTTGAAATGCTATGAGTCAAGTTGCTAAATTCTAACTTCATGCAGCTTTTGATTCCCAATAACAGGAGTGTTTATGTAAATCCAAATCTACTAGTTGATGTTATCACATTCTGTATACACTGTTTAAGAATGGATAAATAGGTTCCCTTTCCTTTTGAAATGCTTTCTAAGTTTTTAAGCACCCCAGAGTTCATTTGCATTTTTCCTTCCCACCTGCCAAAGCCGGGAAATTGGATTTTATCTAAATTATGATCTTTATGGGTAATTATTGGTGGCAAACAGTCCTCTCTCTTTGTAATTTGAGTATTCTTTATCATCTTGATTAATTCTGATGACAAGTGCCCTAGGATACCTATGACATGTGAGAGATGAGATTGTTATTAATGTATTTAATCCCTGGTGTGAATAATTTCAGATGCATAAATGCAGGATTTATATACAGGAAGAACTCCTACAGCAAGAAAGAAAAAGCAAAACAAAAAATAACTGCATACAATATTCATGAAGAAGAGTGGTGTCAACCAGTTTTACATTAGACTATCAATTATAACTCAGTTCATGATGTTGAATTTAGTTTCTTAAAGTCTTTTTGATGCGAGTCCAAAATTCTCCTGCAAGGCCTTTCATGGAATTTATTTTCTGGGTTAGTTTATAAGCAAACAGCTGGGCTTATTTTGTTCATTTTTTTTGGCTTTCTGAGTTTAACATTTAAAGTATGTAAATGTCAAATAGAGGAAATCTTAGGAGAAAGACTATCTTTATCAGTATATTGCAGAAGTGAACCTTATGTTCATAAAACCTGATCATTGTAACTTTAAACAGGCAATAATTTCTTATAATCTCTATTTATTTAACAGTTTACACTCTGCTTCTGGATCTTTCATTTCTTAATAATATATTTGAGTCTCTTGGCTCTCCTGTTCTTCATCTACTAGACTTGTGATGGTGAACCTTTGGCACGCTTGCCAGAGGTGGTATGCAGAGCCCACTGTGTGGGCCGTCACCAGCTGCTCTTCTGGTTTCCAGTGTGCATGCATGTGCCAGCCACCTGGTCTTCTGGTTTCCCGTGCTCTAATGCATGCGAAGACCAGCTGGCCAGAAACCAGCTGGTCTTTGAGTTTCTGAGCCTCCAGCGCACACATTACGTGTTCCAGTTTCGACACACTCGGTGTCGAAAACATTTGCCATCTCTGTAGTAGACATTTCAATTCCTCCATATCTCTCATGCCCTTCATTTGTCTCTTACTGACTTATATTGTGTAAAGCTCTGTCAGACATTCTGATGCTGTTTTTTTTTTACAGCAGTAGTACAGTAGAAACATAGAAAACTGCATTGTAGAATATCAGGCCATTGGTCTGCTATTTTCAGAAATGTTAACATTACCCAGCACAGTTCTCCAGTCTCAAACAGGACAATGAGTTCCTGC